TTTACGCAGATGGATGGAAATGAAAATGTATGAAAAATGCTTAGGTATGCAAAAATATTTTTTTTGCTTTTAGGTACGCAAAAATATTCATGGATATGCAATGTGATGTAGACGTAGTATGATGGTAGATGTAGGGGTACCCTATATAGGTTTATTGATATACATGACGATATCCTACACTGACTCAGAGATTCAGACAGGAAGGGACCCGTTAAGGACGAAGGTAATAAAAGACATTGATTTGATGATATCCTACATTATCTCAAAGATTGAAACAGGTAGGAATTCCTTAAGGATTAAAGCAAATGAAAAATGACGAGGAATCTCTACAGGCTAGGGATAGTAGTGGATGAAGAGATAACCCTTGCAGGTTTACAAATTATAGTGGGATTTTAGAAAGGTATCCTTAGAAGGTAGGTTCTTAGCTTTGGCCTACGAATATTCTACCCTCCCCATAAGGTCATTTCCCTAAGGGTATCATGAATAACACTAGAGGGAAAAGGCACAAGGGCCTCCCTTAAGTGGAGCCTCTTTGCATACCAAAACTTTCGTCTCTAGGTCATGAAAGGTCTCATCATGAGATTTTGGTTTAAAGGTCGTACAAAGAGTCATAGGTGTCATTCCAAAGTCCAACTTCTCAAGAGGATGTCTCTCGATAGGTATTCCTTTTGCAGAATTCCACCGACTCTAGGCGAAGTCGTCACATAAACCCATAGGGTTGATGTAACCCCTTGGCTAATAGACGAACCTTCTTTCTAAGTTTTTTTTGAAAATCATTTTTGCAAAATTTTAAATCCCCCTACAAATTTAATAATATAACGAATAATAAAAAATAAGCGGAAAATAAATAAATAATTAAATGAACAAGAAATAAAAAATTCCAATAAACAATAAAAACCCTAAAACCCAAAGAAGAGACTTTTAAACCTAGGATTGAGTCCCCAGCAGATTTGCCATCTATTGTAACTAGTTTTTTAATCAGAGTCGCCACCCTTAATTTTCATCTTGAGAAAGGGAATATAAAGGTTAACCCTAAAAAGTCAGAGATTCTAGGTTTTTTTACTCAATTTTAGACGAATGGAAGGTGTTAGGAACCTCTCATCTACCTTGTTCATAAGAATACTAGTTTTAGAATTAATCTTTAGGGAATAGGGTTTTTAGTATTTTATTAGTGGAACTCGCCACGATTTTAGTCGTATGCCTACGTATCCTCCTAGAAGGAATCATAGTCCCATTTCGTAGTTTGCAGTTGGTTTTTATTTTTTATGGGTTAATAATTGTATTTGAATTTCCCGCATACTCAGTCTAGGTGTGTGAATAGCAGAGATATTAGACGGATTACGCAATCAATTCAAATATACTCATAACCCTTTTTGAAGATTGTTTATTGAATTAATTTGATTTTTGAAAATAATTTTTATTGGTTAAGTATTTTTTAGCATATTAATTATGAAAATATTATAATTAAATGCATGATTCAAAGAAATAATTCAATTCCATAAAATATATTTGAATGTATTTAGAAAAAAATTATGGCTTATATGATAATAATAACATAAATAATATTATATTAATAAAGTCAGAGAGCAGCTAAAACTTAGAGGTAGATTCCTGGATAATTATCAGCATCATCCTAATGGAATAATTTGGATCTATTGGGATGACAGTAATTTGGAATAATTTGGAGCTAATGTATTGATTTGTATTGATTAACTTTCTGCTTTGATTTAATTATGTTTCTGATTTTAGTTTGTTCTGTTTTGGAAAAGATGAACGCACAACCTGATATGATTTATCTGTATTGAGTTGAATAGTAACGGTTTATTCTAAAAACATGTGTTATTTCCTTTCAATTTGCACAGTGTCTGTTCATGTTTTTTGAGCCATTTATTTCCTGAATTTTCAACTTGGAGCGGTTTGGCTTTGGGCCTGAAAAATGGCCTTTCACGTTTCTCTTCTCAACTTCATAAAACAATTAAATTAAAGAAATATAATGTTAAAAGAAATTATAATATTGTTAAACAAAACCATTTTAATATAATAGATAATAATGGTAATTGATAATAATTATAATTAAAACAAAACAAAACAATTCAAAACAAAACAAAACCGAATGGGCCTCATCAATTAATTTATTGGGCCTTAATACAAAGAAAAAAGAAATTCTCTATACACCCCCCATCTTCCATATTTAAAATGGGCTAAAAGAATTTCACATGGGCTAAAAGAATTTCACATGGACCCTTTCAGATTTATATTGGGCCTCTAAACAACATGAGTTGCTTGTATACCTTCCTGATTTAATTGTATTGGACTTTAAAAAAAAAACTTGCTTATGGACCAATCTGATAAATACAAACCCATTTTTTGTAAAATAAACAAGTTAACCCTTAATGGGCTTAAACACACCCTCTTCTTCATGAATCAAATCCAAACTTAATTGACCTAGAAAAAAAATTTGTGGGCTTTTTTCAAAAAAAAACATGACATGGCCTACTTGTTTCAAAAATGTGTACCTCTTCCTTATTATCTATACCCGGACCCAAAATATCTTAGTGACCCATCAAATTTTGACGGTTCACTAAAGCAACATACCCCTTTTTAATATTTAAATCCCCCTTATTAAATAATACTCAAATAAATTTAAATATTGTGACTAATAATTAGAAACACAATAATAATATGACTATCAAATTGATAGGACAAATTTGGGGTATGACAACATTCAATACATGATTCATTAAGTAAAATTTACAAAAAAAAACATTCTCATCAATATATATTCATTATTAAAAATTTTCATGCTCTTCATCCATATCATTCTTATCATCTGATGTAATATTGTCCTCAGATCTAAACTCTTCATGCTCTTCGTTCACATTATTTTCAATCAATAATATAGACGCATCAATTTGATGTCCCACAACCACTGTATCAGATAAACTTGTAATTTGTTCAACTGCATTTATGATCCATGCTTACTTTGAGCACTAGATTTACTTGTTTTAGAGCATAAAAATTTCACATTGTGGTTTATATGCAACTTATTAAATTATGCAATTTTAGAGTTTTATTCTACTGTTGTTTTATCATTCTACTTTGCTGTATTGGAACGAAGTCTCCCATCAGAGCGTTTATATTTATTGAAGACTCAGCTTCATGTAATCTCCTAGTTCTTTTATCTTACCTTTTTCCATTATGTATGCACCAAAATCATGTTGTTTAACTATTTATTTCATCATGCTTGAGTAGATTAATTTAGGGTTCGAAACATGAGGACCGTTTAGCGGTAATACTCGTATGAAATTCTAAATTAATTAATCATTATGAGAATAAAACATTGTTTTGTAATTTTTGTTTTAAACCGTTAGTCTTACTAAGAAATTAGAATCGTAGAGATATCAATTAAGTATCGAAAGGGAACTGACACTGTTACTCAAATCATTAATTTTATGATATTAAAAGCATCTTGAAATTAATTGAGAATTTATTTTTAGTTTTTATAGAATTTTAAATATATATTAATTTCATTGTGAACTCTTGTTTTTTACATATTTAGGAATCTGGTGACATACCGACGAAAGTGGGTGTCGCCACTAGTTTAGCAATTTCTACTAATAAGTTTATTCTCATTATGATAAATTATCGTGTTTTGTACGTGTAGAATTATAATTGGTATACAAAAATTTCCATTTCGGTCCCTTAATCCTTATCTGATAAATTTAATCATGTTTATTGTTTTTAATTATTTTCCGCACACAAACTTTAATTCTTTGAGTGACCTTAGCTATACATAGGAACTGTAGATAATAATAAATATGATTAGTCTTCGTAGATTTGACAATCATTTATACTATATTAATATAGTTGTATATGTCTGGCCTATCATTGAGTAACCATGTTTTGTAAAATAGTCTTCATATTTATGCATTATAAAACCTTGATTTGTTTGGATTATATTGATCAAAGATTTATGTTCAAACAAAGCCGATTACATGGTGATCAAGTCATTAAGTAATTAGGTTTTGCAAATGTCATAATTATAATTTTAAAATAAGTCTATTATAGGTTCAATCATGAGTTTTTAACATATACAAGTAGATGATTCGAAAGGGAACTTAATCATGGATTTGATTTCATCACTGTTAACATAGTTATTAACATTGTTATAACAACGCCATCAATCACGTTCTCCGCACCCGTTGCTATTATAATTTACAACTTCTCTTTTACAAACACAAGTACAATTATTTTATCTTTGTAGAGTTTATCACAATCGTAAATACGACAATTTACTTATCACCTTATACATTTTGTTAAGAAACCTAATTCAACATATTTGTATAACCACAATCGAGTCTAACAAAGTTAGCAACACAAGGAGTTCAATATAAAGTTAACAACATATCCTCCCTTTTAAAATATTTCTAAAATGTTACAAATTGAACAACCTATTTTCTATCACTCATTTTTATCAAGCATAACATCATAACATCATGATTACTCAAAGCTTTATCCAAAAGTTTTTCTCTTATATTAAAATAGTAATATGCTTTATAATCTATTCCATATTTCAAAACTATCTCACATATTTTTACAAACTCTTCATTTTTTTATACAATTGAAAGAAATAGCATTTGTAAAAGAACTTTTTTATTTGTTGATGAACTTTTTTCTTAAGATCCTTATTCACCATTTGATTAATTAGGGAAGAAAGAGATGAACAAGTTATTGTGTTTCTTTAAAACATTATGAGACAGAGCAAGAAACAAAGTGAACTAACTATAACAAAACAAAAATGAAGATATTACTTAATATTAACATTTAGATATGATACTTATACTTCCATGAAATCAATACAAAGAGTACAATCAAAACATATCAAACACTAAATCATCATCAATTTCTTCTCATAATTACATTAAGCAAAACAAGCACACAACATTAATTAGTAGCTATAGATGTATACAAAGGGTATAAAGTTTCCATGTTTATATGATTTAAATGAATCCAATCCCAATTTTAGGTGTCATTAACCTCATTCTGCTGAAATTTATCTTAGTGTAATGTTTCAATGGGAAATTCATATGAAGTTTTGATATAATATGTTTCTTCTCTGGGAATGTTTGAGTTGAGAGACCCTTTGAAGTTCTACTCAAAGGAAGATATATAGCTTTGTTTATATCTTCCGCCAAATCCGTATTTGAATCAAAACTGTTTTTAGAGTTGAAAAACATCTGAAAAACTTTCAAGCATGATAGATGAAGTTGTTTGCTAGGCTTTGGAAAACCACTTGATCCATCAATAAGAACAAGTTCAAGAAACTCTTTCTTCTTTTTCTCAACTATTTCTCTCACAAAACCAATTGAATCTTCTATTTCAAATTCAGGATTCTCCATCATCTTGACCAAAACATAATTCAGTTTCCCTTCTTCCTTTTCCTTCTGCATAATCACATGAAATTAAGGTTTTAACTAGATTTTAAAGGGAGACCGATTCAGTGAACAAGTAAAAATCAAGGCATCAAAGCCTCAATAAAGCTTAATACAAAGTGTGTTTTTTTCTTCTTATTAACTTAACTAATTTACCTGATAACTCTCGACATCATTTAATAAACGAGAAATGACCATTAATAGTTTCGTTAATGGTTCGTATGGTGTTAGCATAAGTTTCTTGGCTGGTTTCATAAAGCATGAAGATGTAAGCACCATGAGATGTGCTCCAATTGAAATCATGCCTGTTTTGAGGTAACAATCAATAGATGGTTTGTGTCCATTTCTGCTCCAGTTTGCTTCTATGAGCCATGACAGGAAAATCTCGTACCACTTCACAAATGAAATACATGTCACAAAGTTGATAATTATAATATTTTGTAAATTATATAAGTTTTGTAACACATACTAGATCTTTAAAGTTGCTTGAGATATCATCAGAAGTTCCTTCTTGTTGGAGATATTTTCTAGAAGCTTCACTCACAAGACCATCAAGTGCATCAAATATAACTTTGCTGTGGCTGCTTAGGCCTCTTGCATCCCATCTAATATTTACACAAAATACATATATCATGAGTATCAAACAAATTCTTTGAAACAAATTTTGATTATGTACCTTTGAACTGCTTCTGTCAGGATTTCTAGTTCATTGAGAGAACCAACAGTGTCAAAGAAATCATCAGCAACTGTGATTATAATTGCAGTTTTAGCTACGAGTATTCGTACGTAAGAATCATGAGGGAGTGATGTTATACTAGCAGCAACAGCAAAGTAACAATAAGTGCTTTTTTCTCTGCCAAATCCCATATTACTCATACCACACTTTTCAACCCACCTACATTTCAAAATCAAATGTATTCTACTAAGATTCTTATGACTAAGTTTCAGGTAAAACTAAATAATAGAAATTGAACTATACCTCTTAAGCTCCGTAAGCTCATTTTTGTATATCAATTGCTTAAACTCAAAGTTTAGAGTCGCAAGTTGTAGCAATTCATCGTTATAAAGACCTGATACCCTACAAATAAAGTTTAGAGTTGCAAGCTGTAGCAATTCATCCTTGTTGATTAAAATGAGAATAAATAAGTAGAAGGCATTTGTAATATGTCCAACGGATTTAGATTGAATTCGGTCTGAATATTTTGCATTCATATAGTTAGTACAACGGGAAATGACCACAACTGAAATGTTCACTCAAAATCCGTATATATATACATCATGTGTGTACCTGTTGTATGATGTGTTTCCTTTCTATAAAACATTAGCTTCTGTTTCTTGTATCCATCCTCTATGCTCTAAATGATCCAACCGAGCAAACCATGGAAAACTCAACTCGTGCTCTATCCGTTGAAATAAGCCTCCTTTTCCTGTTGAAACGGTTTTCTCAAGTATTTTCCTAGAAAAAGTTCTAGCTTCCTCGAGTTCATATTCTCCACAGAACATTAAGTTTGAGGCTCTGAAGACGTGAAGCATTGCATTCGAGAAGTGCTCGTAATCTCTCTCAATCTCAGCTTTAAGTTCTTCATGATTTAGAAACCAACAAAAGTATACTGCAAATATTATAAAACATAAACTTTAGACAGTCAAATATGTACATGTTGTTTCCAAAACCAATAACTATCATACATGGTGATACTTTGAATCCATGTGTCCGTAAGAACTCAAACGCTAGAGCATCTTTCTGAAGCTGCAAAGCACTCATATTCGATGCTTTCACCCATGAATCTTTCTCCTTGTTATATTTCCTAAAATGAAATAAAAATTAATACATACACAATAGTAATTCAGTCCAACTATAGAAACTGTTCAAATGGGTTTTATTTACCTATAAACTTGTGTCAAAAGCACTTCAATCTCTCTTACAAAGTACTGTGCCAATCCAAACCTATGTAATTGGTTAGTAATGCATAGCTTTATATGGTCCTCATCCATTGGATATGATTGTGGAACTGCTTTTGGACATCTTTGAGACAAGGACCGTAAATAAGCTAGGCATTTTTTGTTTCCATAATCCATGAATGCTTTTGCGGTGGCCGAGGGAGATTGAAACAAGGAACCATCTTCACTCAAATTTTTACATATATCTTTTTCATTAACATATGTTGGAGGCAGAGCTTCAAGATATGACAGTAATGGAGGGTAACTATGAAAATTCCGATCAACTTTTTCCCTACATATTCATGCAAAGATAAAAAATTTACAACAAATATTTTTACATATAGGACATGATAGGATGAAATGAAAAAGTGTGTAGTACTTGTTAAGAAAGCATTTGCGACGGTTAATAATAAATGAAATGGTGTCCCTTGATGACTGTGGGAAGAGGAAATGTAAACCAACTAGATCAGCAAGTTCAATCATCGATGGGAGAACAATAGCTAGCCACCGAGGACAATCTTCTTTCACTTCATTTAGCAACTTATCAATATTTGCATCGATAAATAAACGTCCTACAAATTTCAAATTATTGATAGGACGATTAATAACCCAAATATAGTCCAAAGTTTATTATAATAGAAGATACAAAAATGGAATAAACTCAAATTCCTTCTCCTATATTGTAGTTAGTAGTCTAACTCAAATTATTGTTAATGTTGTACTCCCTCCATATATATTAAAAAAATTAAAATAGAATCTTTTGAATTAAGATTTTTTATGAAAAGGTTTTATATGAAAAGTTAAGAATAATCCTTATTGATTATTGGTTAGGGAAAAAAGTTTTATATAATAGATTTTGTAATTAGTATTAGAGGGTAATTTAGTATTTGTATATGTAGGATATTCCCTTTAGGCCCTATGTGGCATTCTTATCTTTACTATTTTGTGTATAAATAGGTGTACTAGGTTTACATTTAAAACAATCAATTTCCTTCAATCATTAGTGGTAGCTTTTAACATTTATTCATTTTCTCTCTTCTTCCTCAATTTCATCACCTTGCACTAACAAATTGGTATCTAGAGCTCTTGGTTTATTCTGAAATTCTGGGAAACACGAGTGATAGTGAGCTGTGTGTTTGATTTTTGAATCTTGAACAAAAATCTGAAACAAAATCACACTGATTCTGTGGGTTTGGGAAACACTGAGTGAGAAATCTGAGATCTGAGTTTTTTTGTGCAAGGTTTAAGATGAATGGAGGCAGTAGTTTGAACACTAAACTTCCAATTTTTGATGGCAAAAACTGGAACAAATGGAAGATACAAATGCGTGTGCTGTTTGGTGCTCAAGATGTTCTGGATCTTGTTTCTGAAGGTTATGTTTCAGTTGCAGCAGATGCTACTGAAGAACAAAAATTAGAAGAAAGAGCTGTGAGGAAGAGGGATCAGAAAGCTCTGTTCTTTATCCATCAGTGTGTGGATGAAAATGTGTTTGAGAAGATTGTTGATTCGACGACGTCGAAAGGGGCATGGGATATACTGACCAAATGTTATGGTGGTGATGTATCAGTAAAGAAGGTAAAGCTTCAGTCCCTGCGAAAACAATATGAAAATCTCAGCATGAAGAACAGTGAGAAAGTTTCTGAGTACATCTCCAGAATGATTCTGATCACTAATGAGATGAAGGCTTGTGGAGAAACACTTTCTGAACAGGCAATCATAGAAAATATTCTGAGGTCACTTACTCCTCAGTTTGATTACATTGTTGTTTCAATTGAACATTCTAAAAATCTGGAAACCATGAGAATAGAAGAGTTGCAAAGCAGTCTAGAAGCACAAGAGTTGCGCCTGACTGAAAGAACTTCTGAGAGGGAAGTGGAGCAAGCTCTGAAAGCTTCTTTTGTCAAGAAGGACCAGAAGCAGAATAGACATGGTGATAAATTCCAGAAGTCAGAAACTTCAACTTCTGATGAAAAGAAATATCAGAAGGGAAAGGAAAGATATCACAAGAAGAAGGTTCAATGTTACTGCTGTAAACAATTTGGTCATTTTGCCAGAGACTGTAGAAACAGAGGAAGGAAATCAGAAGAAGCAAATATAGCCAGAGAAGATTCTGATGATGAACCTGTGCTACTGATGGCTTCTGATTCTGATGGAAACTGTTCAGGAGATTGGTGGTATATGGACACTGGTTGTTCAAACCACTTGACTGAGAACAAACAATGGCTGATAGACTTTGACTCCAGAAGGAGAACAAAGATCAGATGTGCTGATGATAAGTACCTTAATGCAGAAGGTATGAGAAATGTTAGAGTCAGAGTGAAGAATGGAAAAAACATTCTGATCAAAGATGTTTGGTATGTTCCTGGAATTAAAAGCAATCTGATGAGTGTGGGTCAGCTTATTGAGAAAGGTTTTTCAGTGGTTATGAAGGACAACCTCTTGACGTTGTATGATTCTAATCAGAAGTTGATTATGAAGTCTGAGCAGGGAAGCAACAGAACATTCAAGGTGAATGTAGAAACTTCTGAAGCGGGGTGTCTTAGTGCAGAAGGCGCTGAAGCTGACAGTAAGCTGTGACACAAGAGGTTGGGGCACTTGAACTACAGAAGCTTAGGGCATCTAAGTTTTAAGAAGCTCGTACATGGCATTTCGAAGATTGTGAAGCCTCAGAAGTCATGTGAGATATGCATGAAAGGTAAGCAACCCAGATTGCCATTTGCATCAGAAGTAGCCCCCAGAGCAAAGCATGCTCTGGGAGTAGTACATTCTGATGTGTGTGGACCATTTCCAGTACCTTCACTTGGAGGAAACAAATATTTTGTGTCTTTTGTGGATGAGTTCACAAGAATGACATGGGTAACACTCATCAAGTTCAAGCATGAAGTGTTTACTGAGTTCCAGAAGTTCAAAGTGAAGGCTGAGAAGCGGGGTGGTCAGAAGCTGAAGATTCTGAGAACAAATGGTGGAGGTGAGTATAACTCTACAGAGTTCCAGAAGTTCTGTGAGGAGAATGGAATAGAACATGAGGTTATTGCTCTATATACTCCTCAGCACAACGGTCTTGCTGAAAGAAGAAACAGAACTTTGCTTGATATGACCAGAAGTATGCTGAAAGAGAAGAAGTTACCTCACATGTTATGGGGAGAAGCTGTTGCCACATCAGCATATGTTCTGAATAGGTGTCCAACAAAGAAGCTGAAGGAAACAGTTCCTTTAGAAAAATGGACTGGAGACAAGCAAAGTGTTAGCCATCTGAAGGTGTTTGGTTCTGTATGCTACAAACACGTTCCAGATGCTAGAAGATGAAAACTGGATGATAGAAGCAAAATAATGTTACTGGTGGGGTACCACAGTACATGTGCCTATAAGCTTTATTGTCCAGAAACCAACAAAGTTGAAATCAGCAGAGACGTCATTGTGAAAGAGTCAGAAACATGGGATTGGAACAAGCTTCAATCAGATTCTGGTGTAGTGCCAATACCAGGGTTAGTTTCTGAAGATCCTTCAGAAAGTTCTGAAGACGAGTCAGAGTCAGAAGATGAAGACTCTGAAGATGAGTCAGAATCTCAGGGAGATTCTGATAGTGGATCTGATTCTGATCCAGATTCTGATGATGATCCAGAATCTGGTGGTGATTATACTTCTGGAAGGGAAAACTCTGAAGACATGGGGTCTGGAGAACAAGTTTCCAGAAGTAACTCTGAAGGTGGTAATTCTGAAGGAAATAATTCTGGACAAAGTCCAGAAGCCAACACAGTTCCGAGTTCTAGAGAAGCTTCAAAACAAGATCAGAGGCCACAGAGAATCAGACGAATACCAAGTAGGTTTGCAGATTTTAGCATGTTGCATGATACTGAAGTAGATTCTGAAGGAGAAATCGTTCAGTGTGCCATGCTAGTAGATTCTGAACCAGTGGGTATTGAAGAAGCGCTCAAGAAGAAAGTATGGTTGAATGCCATGAAAGAAGAACTTGAGGCTATTGAAAGAAACAAGACTTGGAAGCTGACAGAACTTCCAAAAGGTAAGAAAGCCATCAGCGTCAGATGGGTTTTCAAGCAGAAGCTAAAGCCAGATGGATCAATTGGCAAATACAAAGCGAGACTAGTGGCCAGAGGTTTTCTTCAAAAACCTGGACTAGATTACTTTGAGGTGTTTGCGCCTGTAGCTAGACACGAAACAATCAGACTGGTGATTGCTTTAGCTGCAAATAGAAATTGGCCTTTGATACATCCATTACAAGAAGAAATACTTCTGGGTACTTGTTCAAATTTCTGGGAGGTCCAATTTCTTGGAGTTCCAAGAAACAGCCTGTTGTGGCTTTGTCAACATGTGAAGCTGAATACACTGTCGGTGCTGTAGCTGCTTGTCAAGCAGTTTGGCTTCTAAATCTGCTGCATGATCTGAAGGTTGAAGTTGAGGAACCTCTGAAGCTGATGATTGATAATAAGTCTGCAATTAATCTTGCAAAGAATCCAGTGCTACATGGAAGAAGCAAGCACATTGAGACGAAGTATCACTTTCTCAGAAGTCAAGTGCAGAAAGGAGTGTTAGAAGTTCTGCACTGTAGCACTCAGAAGCAGCTAGCAGATGTTTTGACAAAGGCGATAAAAACAGACTAATTTCTTCGCTTGAGAGATGAAATTGGTGTTGTTTACTTCTGATAAGTTACTAAATTACGGGATGGTATTAGAGGGTAATTTAGTATTTGTATATGTAGGATATTCCCTTTAGGCCCTATGTGGCATTCTTATCTTTACTATTTTGTGTATAAATAGGTGTACTAGGTTTACATTTAAAACAATCAATTTCCTTCAATCATTAGTGGCAGCTTTTAGCATTTATTCCTTTTCTCTCTTCTTCCTCAATTTCATCACCTTGCACTAACAATTAGTTTAGAAAAAAGAAATGCATATATATTATAAAATATTTTAAACCGTCAAATAATGAGAGACATGTATTATAATAAAATTCATTTTTATTTTAAAAATATTGAAATAATATGATAAATGTAAAAACTCTGATTGATTATGTGTAAAATTATTTTATATTGACAGTATATTATCTTTAAATTCATTAGTTTTATTTTAAAAAGATTAAAAAAAATTATTTTTTTCTAATAATTTAAAAAAAAAAGTGTTTTTTGTCTAACTTGAATCGTGTTTGAGACCAAATTTTTAAAATTTTTTAAAAATAGAATGGTGTTCGGGTGGACGTGAGGTTTTGATTTTTTTTTGGTTTAAATATTTTTTTCGAAATAAAAAACATGTTCAACAAAAAAATAGTATTGATCTTTTATTTAATTTAAAAACAGTTTTGACTAAAATTTAAAAACAGTTTTGCCTAAATTTCAAAAAAAAATATTTGTTTAACACGACCATCAATGATTGTCAGACTATTCATTTTATCACTATGCTGACCACTATTGACCACCTCTTCTAATTACCTTTTAATTAAATAAGTTAAATTGTATTAGTTAGGTTAAAAACATGTAAAGTAATAGTCAATCGTTCATTAGCGATATATTATATTTATATATTAATATAAATAAGTTATTAATATTTATAAATTAATAGCTTTAAAAAAGGTTATGTTTAGTATCAATATGATGTGAATTTGTACACACAAATCATTATGAAATTAATCCAACTAAACTGTGTTAGAAATTTGTCTTTCATGCCAAAAAAAACAAAAAATATCTGTCCTAACAATAAAATGTTGAAACGAAAAGCCGACAGATATTTACCTTTCTGTATCATTAACGTGCCAGTGTTCCACTTTGTAAGTGCAACCATTGAAACAATAGTTGCTGGAAGGCATTCGATGGTGTCACTCTCTCCCCAAAACCCTTCTGGTTTTTGATTCTTGATTAACCATTCTAAATAATTCTTGAACATAGGTTGTGAAGGATATTTTGAATCAGGTATCATTGCTAACCATGCAGTGTCGTAACTAGAAAAACATACAAAAGAATAGATATCAAAATTCGATGAGAATATGTTTTTCTTTATCTTTTGAACTCTACGTTCGATACAAGATAAGGGAAGTTCCATTTCGAATCAATGATGCACTCAAAATTTTCTAATAACTTGAACTATATAATACTGTGCTGCAGACGGTATTTTTTGAATGGTATGCATGAGTCGTTTTCAAATGTGTGTTATACGTTTGGGTCAATCATCCCCTTATTCTACATCAGAATGTGTTCATATGTAACTTCATTCGCATATGACATTTTTTAATTTAATTTAAAAAAATATTATCACAAATTCGTCTGTCCAAATATTTTAATAGTAAGATATCTGTTTGTATCTGATCAGACTGGATTGACAAGGTCCATTGTTAGTGCAAGATGATGAAATTGAGGAAGAAGAGAAAAAAAAAAAATATTAAAAGCTGTCACTAATGATTGAAGGAAATTGATTGTCTTAAATGTAAACCTAGTACACCTATTTATACACAAAATGAACAAAGATAAGAATGTCACATAGGGCCTAAAGGGAATATCCTACATATGACAAATACTAAATTATCCTCTAATACCATCCCGTAATTTAGTAACTTATCAGAAGTTAACAACACCAATTTCATCTCTCAAGCGAAGAAATTGGTCTGTTTTTATCGCCTTTGTCAGAACATCTGCTAGCTGCTTCTGAGTGCTACAGTGCAGAATTTCTAACACTCCTTTATGCACTTGACTTCTGAGAAAGTGATACTTCGTCTCAATGTGCTTGCTTCTTCCATGTAACACTGGATTCTTTGCAAGATTAATTGCAGACTTATTACCAATCATCAGCTTCAGAGGTTCCTCAACTTCAACCTTCAGATCATGCAGCAGATTCAGAAGCCAAACTGCTTGACAAGCAACTGCAGCACCTGCAATGTATTCAGCTTCACATGTTGACAAAGCCACAACAGGCTGTTTCTTGAACTCCAAGAAATTGGACCTCCCAGAAACTTGAACAAGTACCCAGAAGTACTTCTTCTGTCAACTCTATCTCCACACCAATCAGAATCAGAATAACTCAGAAGTTCTGATTTGATCTTTCCTCCAGAAGGAAATAACACTCCATATTTCAGAGCTCCTTTTACATACCTCAGAATCCTGACAGCAGCTCGGTAATGAGACCACTTTGGTTTGCTCATGTATCTGCTGACCATTCCAACTGCATAGCAAATATCAGGTCTGGTATTACACAAATATCTTAGAGAACCAACCATTTGTTTGAAGGTTGTAGCATCCACATCCTCTCCATCAGAATCAGAATCCAACTTCTGATTTGTATCAGCAGGTGTGATAGCAACCTTACAATTTGCTAGCTCAAATCTCTTCAAAATCTCCAGTTCATACTTCTTTTGATGTAAGATGATTCCTTTCTCAGAGTATATAAATCTCATCCCTAGAAAGAAACTCATTTTTCCAAGATCTGTCATCTCAAACGCATTCATCATAACTTTCTTGAACTCAATTGTTTCTTGTTCAGAACTTCCTGTGAGTAATATGTCATCAACATACAAACAGACCAGAATCATATTACCTTCTGAAGTGTGCTGAACATAAACACCATACTCCATCTCACACTTCTGAAACCCTTGTTCCTTGAAAAATGAATCAATCTTCAAATTCCAAGCTCTGGGCGCTTGCTTCAGTCCACACAGAGCTTTATTTAACCTGTATACCATCCCTTCCTGATTTTTTTCACAAATCCAGGAGGTTATGACACATAAACTTCTTCTTGTAATGGACCGTTCAGAAATGCAGACTTCACATCCAGATGTATCAAATGCCAATTTCTGTTTGCAGCTAAAGCAATCACCAGTCTGATTGTTTCGTGTCTAGCTACAGGCGCAAACACCTCAAAGTAATCTAGTCCAGGTTTATGAAGAAAACCTCTGGCCACTAGTCTCGCTTTGTGTTTGCCAATTAATCCATCTAGCTTTAGCTTCTGCTTGAAAACCCATCTGACGCTGATGGCTTTCTTGCCTTTTGGAAGTTCTGTCAGCTTCCAAGTCTTGTTTCTTTCAATAGCCTCAAGTTCTTCTTTCATGGCATTCAGCCATACTTTCTTCTTGAGCGCTTCTTCAATACCCACTGGTTCAGAATCTACTAGCATGGCACACTGAACGATTTCTCCTTCAGAATCTACTTCAGTATCATGCAACATGCTAAAATCTGCAAACCTACTTGGTATTCGTCTGATTCTCTGTGGCCTCTAATCTTGTTCTGAATTTTCTCCAGAACTCGGAACTGTGCTGGCTTCTGGACTTTGTCCATAATTATTTCCTTCAGAATTACCACCTTCAGAGTTACTTCTGGAAACTTGTTCTCCAGACCCCATGTCTTCAGAGTTTTCCCTTCCAAAAGTATAATCACCACTAGATTCTGGATCATCATCAGAATCTGGATCAGAATCAGATCCACTATTAGAATCTCCCTGAGATTCTGACTCATCTTCAGAGTCTTCATCTTCTCACTCGTCTTCAGAACTTTCTGAAGGATCTTCAGAAACTAACCCTGGTGTTGGCGCTACACCAGAATCTGATTGAAGCTTGTTCCAATCCCATGTTTCTGACTCTTTCACAATGACGTCTCTGCTGATATCAACTTTGTTGGTTTCTGGACAGTAAAGCTTATAGGCACTTGTACTGTGGTACCCCACCAGTAACATTGTTTTGCTTCTATCATCCAGTTTTCGTCTTCTAGCCTCTGGAACGTGTTTGTAGCATACAGAACCAAACACCTTCAGATGGCTAACACTTTGCTTGTCTCCAGTCCATTTTTCTAAAGGAACAATTTCATTCAGCTTCTTTGTTGGACACCTATTCAGAACATATGTTGATGTGGCAACAACTTCTCCCCATAACATGTGAGGTAACTTCTTCTCTTTCAGCATACTTCTGGTCATATCAAGAAAAGTTTTGTTTCTTCTTTCAGCAAGACCGTTGTGCTGAGGAGTATATGGAGCAGTAACCTCATGTTCTATTCCATTCTCCTTACAGAACTTCTGGAACTCTGTAGAGTTATACTCACCTCCACCATTTGTTCTCAGAATCTTCAGCTTCTGACCACTCTACTTCTCAGCCTTCACCTTGAACTTATGGAACTCAGTAAACACTTCATGCTTGAACTTGATGAGTGTTATCCATGTCATTCTTGTGAACTCATCCACAAAAGACACAAAATATTTGTTTCCTCCAAGTGAAGGTACTGGAAATGGTCCACACACATCAGAATGTACTACTCCCAGAGCATGCTTTGCTCTGGGGGCTACTTTTGATGCAAATGTCAATCTGGGTTGCTTGCCTTTCATGCATATCTCACATGACTTCTGAGGCTTCACAATCTTCGAAATGCCATGTACGAGCTTCTTAGAACTTAGATGCCCTAAGCTTCTATAGTTCAAGTTCCCCAACCTCTTGTGCCACAGCTTACTGTCAGCTTCAGCGCCTTCTGCACTAAGACACTCCGCTTCAGAAGTTTCTACATTCACTTTGAATGTTCTGTTGCTTCCCTGCTCAGACTTCATAATCAACTTCTGATTAGAATCATACAACGTCAAGAGATTGTCCTTCATAACCACTGAAAAATATTTCTCAATAAGCTGACCCACACTCATCAGATTGCTTTTAATTCCAGAAACATACCAAACGTCTTTGATCAGAATGTTTCTTCCATTCTTCACTCTGACTCTAACATTTCCCATACCTTCTGCATTAAGGTACTTATCATAAGCACATCTGATCTTTGTTCTCCTTCTTGAGTCAAAGTCTATTAGCCATTGTTTGTTCCCAGTTAAGTGGTTTGAACATCCAGTGTCCATATACCACCAATCTTCTGAATAATTACCATCAGAATCAGAAGCCATCAGTAGCACAGGTTCATCATCAAAATCTTCTCTGGCTATATTTGCTTATTCTAATTTCCTTCCTCTGTTTCTACAGTCTCTGGAAAAATGGCCAAACTGTTGACAGCAGCAACATTGAACCTTCTTCTTGTCATACCTTTCCTTTCCCTTATGATATTTCTTTTCATCAGAAGTTGAGGTTTCTGACTTCTGGAATTTATCACCATGTCTATTCTGCTTTTGGTCTTTCTTGACAAAAGAAGCTTTCAGAGCTTGCTCCACTTCCATCTCATAAGTTCTTTCAGTCAGACGCAACTCTTGCGCTTCTAGACTGCTTTGCAACTCTTATATTCTCATGGTTTCCAGATTTTTAGAATGTTCAATAGAAACAACAATGTAATCAAACTGAGGAGTAAGTGACCTCAGAATATTTTCTATGATTACCTGTTTAGAAAGTGTTTCTCCACAAGCCTTCATCTCATTAGTGATCATAATCATTCTGGAGATGTACTCATAAACTTTCTCACTGTTCTTCATGCTGAGATTTTCATATTGTTTTCGCAGGGACTGGAGCTTTACCTTCTTTACTGATACGTCACCACCATAACATCTGGTCAGTATATCCCATGCCCCTTTCGACGTCGTCGAATCAACAATCTTCTCAAACACATTTTCATCCACACACTGATGGATAAAGAACAGAGCTTTCTGATCCCTCTTCCTCACAGCTCTTTCTTCTGATTTTTGTTCTTCAGTAGCATCTGCTGCAATTGGAACATAACCTTCAGAAACAAGATCCAGAACATCCTGAGCACCAAACAGCACACGCATTTGTATCTTCCATCTGTTCCAGTTTTTGCCATCAAAAACTAGAAGTTTAGTGTTCAAACTACTGCCTCCATTCATCTTAAACCTTGCACAAAAACTCATATCTCAGATTTCTCACTCAGTGTTTCCCAAACCCACAGAATCAGTGTGATTCTGTTTCAGATTTTTGTTCAAGATTCAAAAATCAAACACACAGCTCACTATCACTCGTGTTTCCCAGAATTTCAGAACAAACCAAGAGCTCTATATACCAATTTGTTAGTGCAAGGTGATGAAATTGAGGAATAAGAGAGAAAAAGAATAAATGCTAAAAGTTGCCACTAATGATTGAAGGAAATTGATTGTCTTAAATGTAAACCTAGTACACCTATTTATACACA